TTCAGAACGCCTGACGGCAGCTGCAACAACGTCAATCGCTGGGAATGGGGAAAAGCGAGAACAGGCGCTGGTCGCCTATTGACACCCACTTACCGAGATGGTAAAAATAATTTCACGCTGCGAAGAAACATTTCAAAATACTATAACGGCTCAAAAACGTTCCCCAAATACTCAAACAGGAATAGACATGAATGATATCTCAGAATAAATATAACCATTCGCATATTTCTGCAAGCCAATCACAATGAGATTTCCCGGTTGTTTGGCGGGATTTGGTCTCTTCTGAAACATTTTTACGCAATAGTTATCACACAGGATCGTCCATATGATACATAATCCATTTTTCCAAGTTCCATGCCTATGGCAATGTACTGTAGTTACAGCAATTCATGGCGATTTTCTGAATTGCTGTCTAATTTTTTCAGGAATCAGAAGCAATAACTTTTGAAGATTTGAACTACAGTATGAATAATTTTGACACTATGGATGGCAGCTTGATGATTCACACTCCTGTACCTGCTGACATTCGCTATTCTCCTCCATTTCTTTGAAACAGTCACAGATACTTTCAATAATATTCATTCGACCCCGAAAAAAAAATTTTTGTACAGGTATTTCTACACCGCGCACTTTGAGCATTTATGGAAGAAACCTCACGTCCGCAAGAAAAATAAGCACCTACACGATCTACACCTACGAATGGTATCAAGATCCCGTCTCAAACCTCTACCTGATGCAATTCGGTCAGTTCCTGGACCACGACTTGACGAAAACTGCCCTGACCAACACAGGTACGTAAAGTTAAATCATTTGAGAACTCAAAATACTGTACATCAAAGTAGATCTCAAATTATCCGGGCTATTTATTCGCTTGAAATTCATGCGCCAAATTTTTATAGATTCACAGAAAATGAGACAGGTTGCATCGCTCATATTTCTATTATCCACTCATTCCCTTTATAATGAACTTATTATCCGGGCTTATGCCCTTCGAAGCGTCAGTAATATTCTTCATTATCCCTCAGCTGAAGCTATGATCTGTTCAGTAAAATGTTTCCGTAGTACATTATATGGGCTTCGGCACCGATTCATCATCAGCGACGATGATGATTAGACGTGTTCTACTGTGCAGTACATAAGCATTCCCAAGTCTCAAAATATTCAATCAACGTTTCGACTCACAACTTGGTGTTTTTCTTTTTGCCTCGAGAATAGCATCTGCGTACGCATCTTCGATCGCATGTTGCTCATCCGACGGGAACATCACTGTTCCTTCTCCGCATCAGGCTTGCTTCCCAATTGAGATTCCGGGTGACGACGGCTTTTACTACACTCACAAACAGAAATGCATGGAATTCGTGCGATCTGCGTTTGCTTCCAGACAAAGCAGCGACCCTTCGTGGTCAAATCAGGTGAAGTTTCCTGAAAGCATTTTTTTCTGCGTCCTTCCCTACTGTATAGAAGTGTTTTGCATCAAGAATGAGCAAGCCTAGATAAGTCAAAAGCCAAAATCTATTGATGAGTCAAAATCTAATGGAAATAGGGTTGAATCTTAGATTGAAGGCATTCGCCATTATACGGTTGAACCTCCATCACTCAATATCCTTTCACATGATTTTTCTTCAAGTCCTTGTCTGAATCCCTTTAGAAACAACTTGTTAAAACCTCTTCAACTCAAAGAATTTCTTCCTCAAACCTCCATGACTC